GAGAACCACCTATCAACTCAATTTGAACTTTGGGAACCTCAAAAACACATGGTACGTAGTTTTTTGGACACGTTCATCACTGTGGAAAACATCGTTTTCAGAAAAATGAGTTTTCTGAAAAGCTCGATTTTTCACCTATGACTGTGCTGCAATAAAAACACTCATAAAAACTTCATTTCTTACACAAAACACTTCAAACTTTCAGAATAAGTTTGATTTGAGGTGTTTCATCAAACTGCACATTAAAAACACAAAAATTTCCTAGCGTTGAAAAAGGAGCGATTTCTTAGGATTCAGATACGTACAGCGCATCAAACTAAATGGATTTTTTATTGCAGCACAGTCATAGGTGAAAAATCGAGCTTTTCAGAAAACTCATTTTTCTGAAAACGATGTCTTCCACAGTGATGAACATGTCCGAAAACTACGTACCATGTGTTTTTGAGGTTCCCAAAGTTCAAATTGAGTTGATAGGTGGTTCTCGGAGATTGTCTATAGTGTCCGAACCATGAATGATGGAGATGTGTGACCTGCGCCAGATTGTAGAGCGACATGTGTTTGGAGCACTACTTCACTATATGGACTTTTGAAATGACAAGCTTAGCTTTTTTGTTTCGAAAGGTACATCATGGTAGACTCATTGGATCTGATTCATTTTTCCACCTGATTACACCCTCGAGTGTTCTCTTTCATAAACTGAAAATCGCACTATATTTGAAATGGATAGTAGAAAGATTTTGTATTTAAACACTAGCATGGCCAGAAAAAATGAGTTAAAATTGGACTCAACTTTAAAAAGTTTAAATCAAAGTTTACACGAGAAAATTAATTATTCAGAAAATGCACGCCTTCCCAATATTTGCGGCTCCGACTTCAGTATCAAAGAGGAAACAAAAGTATCCCACTCTTTCGAAGCCATCCACTTAAAGAATGAGAGTGCTTGTAAAGTTAATCAAATGTTGAATGATAATTTTGAAAAAGACTTTTTTATTCGTTTTGATTCAATGGCCAATGTGATCCATCGGAGTGTATAATTTATTTCACGATAATATTGTTTGATAACGTGAAAAAGAACAGAATATAGACTGTAATAGAAAATGAGCAATGATTCTTGGTTACTAAACTACTTTGTTCCGATAGAAACGGCCTGTGTATTCGATAATTGTTGACGTCATTATTATTAATCATTAATACTTTTACATGCTTCACCATATTAGAGAAAGAGAGTGATTGCGTTCTTACAAAAAAAATTAAACTCAATTTTGGTTCTGTTTGGTCAAGATAAGTAATTCTATCATGGTTAATATCAAATAAACGTTTGTTTTCCTCATAAATGAATTTGATTCGTTGCATCCAAACCAATTATTACAAAAACAATATATATTTTCCGATATGACATGGTTAAATAAATTATTTCCATAGCCAACAAACAAACCATTCTGAGTCCAACAGCCGCTCAAACGGTATGTTGGTAAATCAAATCGGACAACTTCTAATGATGATAGACAACCGCGAATTATTTGTTTGTATGGTTCAACTGATAATCAAACAGAAATAAAAACCAATTTCAGTACACATATAAATACTTTTGAATCTTACCGAGGCTAATTTCAACGATTTTCACACACATCTCAACATAATTTTCTTTTGGACATGTTATTGTGCGTGTTGGATAGCGAACTATTTCACCACAACCGGGTTGGGTTGACGCACATTCAAAACATAATAATGTCTCATTGCCTAACAAATAAGATATATGATTATCTGCTTGATTGCATTACCAGTCAAAGAGGGATC